TGTATCTGTATCTGTATCTGTATCTGTATCTGTATCTGTATCTGTATCTGTATCGAATGCTCGCAAATGCTTCGCTAAGCCGTTTTCAGAAAGTATTTTGCATATTTATGGCGCGCTCGAAAGTATGCTACGATTTGTGCTTAGATCTTAGATGCCATAGGATTTTAAGAGACGGAGACAGAGATGGAAACAAACAGACAGAGAGAGAGCGAGAGAGATTCAACATTTTTGTGACCGTGTTGTCAACTTTTAATAGGGCCAATAAATTGCAAAAGCCGTTACATAAGCCGCATCAGGCTAAAAGGCCAGCCTCTTTAGCTGAAGGATGAGATGCCAAATGCTTGGCATCGTTTAGCTTAATTAACTGTTGGGCAACTGTTGATGAAGTTCGTGTTGTTGCTCTTGCTGCTGCTTTTGCTGTTGCTGTTGTGCTTTACTTCAGCTCCTACTTCTGTTCTCTGACTCTCCTATTCTGATCCTGGCCGGTGTCGTGGTCTTAGCCGACTTAACTGTAGCTTCATTAGGCAAAGCGCTAAGCATCATTAATAAGTATCTCTTCTACTGCTGACGTTTACTGTTCCACTCAACTCTCAGCATTTGCCAGCTCAACATGTCTCGCTCTCTCCCTTTTTCTCTTTCCCTCTGTCCCTCACGCCCCCTCTTTCTATCATTTCCATTTGCAACGCTTTAATTACACACCGTAAAAAATAATCGAGTTCTTAGAGCCATTCAATCTGACCCGCAAATGAGCGCTTGGCCACTGACCGGCCTGCGTCACAGGGTATTCCAGTGCATGAGACAGAGATAGCTAGAGAGAGAGAGAGAGAGTGTGATAGACGCAGAGGGGGTATAATACCTTCTAGTTTGTGCCGCTAATTATGTGCACTAGACTGTGCTTATGCTGGGTTTGGCTGGCGGCATTTCATTTTCTTTGCTTATTTGTTTCATTCCATTTCGTTTCGCTCCTTTTGCTGCATATTTTACGGCACTTTTGTTCAACTATGTTGGCAAGGCGAGCGGTGGGGCGGTGA